TTGTGTTTGTTCTACAAGATTTTGAAGACGTTGTTCGGGATTTTCTGCTGATAATGGACAATAAACACCACCAACTATTTCAATTGATAATATACCAATAATCTATTATTAGAGATTAGAGATAAATAATAATAATAATAGATTATTGTTTTGAAAACTTACCATTGATAAACTTCGTTCCATACATTGACACACAACTTCACCTGGAAGCACATGATATTCATTTAGAAGAATTGAAGATAAGACTTGAACATAATATAGAAGTTCCCAATATGACAACGATTGTTCATCCAATTCAACAGCTAGTTTTTGTGGATGTTTCATTACTTGGTATACAAATTCATGATGAATACAAGTGGAAGCAGATGAAAATGATACTTGCGTATTATTCAATGATTGCATTAGATACTGTTCATCTGATAATATTAATGATAGTTCATAGATAGGTTTGTTTATTTGATTATCAATAATAGATGTAGATAATCGATTTAAAGTGAAATGAAATCGTTGTGAAATCTGCTTCACTGTCTCTCTGTTAAACAAATCAAGTGATGCATTGATTGTACAAGAAAGTTGATTCATATCGAAATCATGCTGAATACTAAGAATGAAGTCAAATTTGCTCATGGTATCATCTTCACTAATCTTGATCGAAATAGGCATCCCAGTGAGATGACTATCACATATAATCACGTCTTTGTGGAGATCTTGTGGTGAATATTGCACGAACTCGAATGATCGATCAAGAAACGCAGGTTTCGAAGTATGTGGATGTTGATTGAGAATACGTTGAAGTGGAAAATATGAATATTTCATAGTATTTGTTGTTATCTCTTGAACATTTTTAACAAGTTTATGCAGAAACCATTGTGGATCTAGCTGACATCGTAAAGGAATAGCATTGACAAACATACCAATCACTGATCTAAGTTCATCTCTATATCGACCATCTTCGTTCATTCCAATGCATAGATCTGTTTCTCCATTCGTCAGTTTAAACAGAAAGACAAAATACATAGACAACGCCAGGTGTTCAAGCGAGATGTTTTGTGAAGATGTGTAGTGGAGGAAAGTGTCACAAAGATCTCGGTCTAAATCGAATGAAATAGATGTTCCAAAACCAGATCGATATTCAGTCGTAAGTCGATATCGATCATATGGCAATGAGAGAGATTGGTCTAATTTGCAATCATGCAGAGCACCATGCCAGAACATGCTTGCACCAATCATAGGCATGTGTTGTTCAATGACAGCATCTGAAGAAGAGAGAAAGACATGATATGATTATAAAGAGAGAAGTATAGACATTTACAATCGAGATAGTGAAGTCTGTTGTTGCTATCATCATTGAGTAGCTGACTTGTAATGTATGCTTGATGAAGATCATGGAGAAATATTTTCATCGATGGATAGTCGAACGAGGCATGATGGAAGTTGAAGATGATGATATCGTTATCAGAGATAAGGTCATTGGTAGAAATCTGTTTGTAACGAACAAGATGCCATCGGAAGACACGACCCTGAGCGAGATCAAAAACATGAGGATTATGTGTCTCATTGTGCATAATTTCGTTCAATTGCTCATCTGTTTCATAAATGCTTTCGACTATAGAAAATCGATTGTTTTTATGATTCTGTTGGTCAATAATTCGTTGTGTAAGAATGTTTTTTGT